CTGGCGGCCGCACGGTGCAGCTTGCCCAAGTCCTTCTGCCGGAGCTCGTAGGCACCGGCGGCGCAAGGCACGGAGGCGCTGCTGGACGGGGGCTGCCCCTTCTTTTTCCTCCCGAACCCAAAGATCCTCTTCATCCCGCGGGAGGGACGCGGGCAATGGCCCGAAGGGATCGGTCAGAATCATCCAGTAAGGACATGTAGTACAAAGCACAAGTTGATTTGTAAACTGATTTATGATACCTACATAGAACTAGAAGAATGCATGTAGCTATCGAGATCTAGATTAATGAAGATGAGGAAAGCCAACCGTAACGGTTTCATAATGGTCTATGGGTACCTGCCAGAAAGTGTGAACTTAAGCAAAAGGTAATTCCGGCAGGGGGAGATCGCGACCACCAACTCACAGACCACCTACCTATATTGCACCCCAGACTCATTTCTCGATGATTCTAACTTTGATGGCACAGAATCAGAAATGGGAGGAGAATATGCTAATGATTTTCAGGAATTTATATGTTTATGTATGATTTACTAATGGATTTGCATATGTCAGCTCTATATAAGAAGTTTGATTTCGGTGCAAGGTGCGCACGTTAGGAGGAGATATCCCCCGTGCACCCGGCGCCGCAATAAAGAAGTGTCTGCTTATCTACATCCCATTGGTGTTGATAAGTTTCTTATTCTGGATTTTCGGTAACACTCTGACGCCCCGCACAGGAACGGGCACCGCAGTAGGATTTCCAGCCGGGCTTACGTGTGGCTTAAGCGTTGCGTAAGCCTCGTACCGGAGTTAGTCTGCTCTAGGTGCGCCTTTCCTTTGGCCTGGCCCGCTGTGCCTGGCTAATTTAGCTCACAGTCTTTGTACTGCTGAGGTACAAAACGGCAGTCTAAAATCCCCTTTTTCCAATCTATATTTTCCCACTATCAATTCACCCTGTGTATTTTGCGTGCCCAGCAGGAAAAGTTTCAGTAAAGCCTTGTTGGGCTGATAACCATGTGCTGCTAGTCATCTGGTTTAGTACACCTGCTTTGCAAGGGCTGTATTTGTAGGAGGGGTGGTACAACTCAGAAAAGCTGTCTGGGAAGATTGAGTTTCTCAGCATTGCTTGCTCAGAGGCTTTGAAGAGGACTGGGTGGTTATCACATCCTTCAGGCTTAGGGTGGTCCATTAGACGCAGCTCTGCTGTTACAAGAGGGGCTGTGTGCGGGCAGGTCTCATGCACAATGCCGTATGCTGTGAAGATCCCCACATCAGTGCTGCATCTTCTCTGTCTTCCAGGCCTCAGGAGCCTCTCCTGACTGCCATGGCCTCTCTGAGATCAAGTGTCCTCATAGTGACGCTGGAGATGGACTTTCACATGAAAGAATTGAGTGGACTTCTCTTTATCCCCTCACCTCCCACCCCATTGTAACTGCTATCAACTCCTGCTATGTCAGATGCCAACTCCGCCCTGGTCACAGGAGGGTCCTGCCTGGCCAGAGACAGGTCTGACTGGTTTTGGAGCCACGGAGACTCCCAGCAGCTCCTTACTGAGGCTGTCCCTGTATCCCCTCCCCCACTACCAAAACCCCACCACATAGTCCAGCACACCCTTGAAGATGTCTGCATGACTGATTTTCACTCAGACCAAAGACAGAGAGAGAAGTCTTAACTACTTGCCTAGGAAGAAAACCTGAAGAAGCCTTCAAAAATAGGACTCTCCTCATCCCTACTAGCTACGTCCAAGGAACTCAAATTCTGTGACAGAAACGCCAGCAGTTCTCCTAGAATGTCACGGCAGTTCGAGCAGCCATCACCATTTTGCAGCGATCATACAGGTCCTCGTGTGTACCAAAGTCAAGCAGAGGGAATAAGAGGATACAGCCGTGTGACCAGGGGGTGGCGGAAGCAAAGCCAGCAGCAGGAACAGAAGAAAGCAGAGACATGTACTAGATAACGCAGTTTATTAAATACCACTTTGGAACTAAATACAGGGTGTTAGCAGCCCAAAACTGTCATCTTCCTGCCAACGCAGTGGCCATGCTGCTTGTTGTGGTTTAGGCAAATCCAGCAACTAAACACACAGCCGTTCTCTCACTCCTTCCCCAGTGAGGTGGAGAGGAGAAAAATGTAATAAAAGGACTGAGGGTCAAGACAAGAACAGAGAGGGAGCACCCACCAACCATGGTCCTGGGCAAAACAGACTCGGCTTTCTCAAAGCAAAGCAATTTATTAAAAGTTACTTAAAAGGACAAAGGGAAACAAAACCAGTTACTTGAGAGGATAAAAAGAAACAAAGCCAAATCTTGAAAAAAACCAACATCTCCCCCCCCCTTTCCTTTTCTTCCCGGCTCTACCTTCTCCCCAGCGGTGCAGGGGGACAGGGAATGGGAGAGTGCAGGTCAGTTCATCCCATGTTGTTACTGACGCTCCTTTCTTAAAGGAGGAGGAGTCCTTACACCATTTTCCCCTGCTCCAGTGGATCCCCTACTCACAAGGAAAAATCCACAGACTTCTCCAGAGTGAGTCCTACCCACAGGATGCAATCCTTCCCCATCGGATTGCTCCAGTGCGGGCTTTACCACAATCTCGGATCCTTAGGGAGCTGTTGCCACTCGCTCCGGCGTGGGTCGTCCCATGGACTCTAGATGCCTCTCTGCCTTGTCGTGCGTCCCATGCTCCACGACCGTCCTCAGGCTCAGGCATCTCTTCTCCGACATGGGCTTCTCCACAGGCTGCGAGTCAGTCTCTGCTCCACCAAGTCCCTCCTGGCTGCAGGGGGGCCGCCTGCC